ACTTCAAGCAGCTCTCTCACTGTTCTTATAAGTATGTGAGTATGCGTGACTGAGAAAAGTAGTCTATTTGTGACTTTCAACCACAAGTCTTAACGCACGCCTAGTTTCAGCTGTAGTTCATTAATTTACAGGGCATTATCAAAATACATTCGTAGAGATAGGTCAAATTCGAGGATAACATTTCTCCAAAGCTGGACGTAACATTAAAAAACCGCTTGCCTGTCGATCGTTTCATTCGGAAATCCCTAGGTTGGATAATTAGTGGAAGTTTTTAGAGTGAGGTCTGTTGTTCCTCACATTTGTTGTTCTAGTCCATGTTTGTTTTTGGTCTAATTTGAACAGAAATCACTGCCTTGCATTCAGTTCAAGTGAAAGCAAATTAAAGCAGGACTTACTCGTGTCGGGGTTCGGTTCTCCGCTTTAAGTACACTGCTGAGTCACGTGGTTTAGCAATCATATGACAGGGGAACCAATCAATCACTGTAGGACACCGAGAAAATCCGTCCTAGCTTTTGCCCTCACAGTCTCGTCCCCGAAGAAAGCACTATAAATGAATTGGTTGACCGATTCGGTGGGTGGTGTCGTGCCATGTGAAGGTGGGAGCTGTTGGAGGCAGGGCTAGTTTTATCAAACCCCATAGGAGAATTTCACCTAGGTACGCGCTCATCCATGATGAATTTCGCAATTTAGTCGGACAGTTGCAAACCGGACTTCTCCGGTACAGCCACAACGCTACACAGGACAGTCGCAGTCAGTCTCGTCTTCAGGACAGACCCTTTTGTGTTTCTAGGGAACCTAATGACTTAAACGGCAATTTTTTTACTCCTGGATTGGTGTTTCCGATCTGCTTTGAATGTACAAGCCCCCTGCAATGCAATCGCTTTATAAGGTCTACTTACTTTATTTAGATAGATTAACAAAATGTGGCAAAATTGTTTTGCATCTGTTTTTTAGTAACACTCCATGTGACTTTGACTAGTCCTGATCGCAGCCGACAGGTTCAGTGAGGAACGCATGCCCAGTGATCCGCTGGGTCCTTGACTGGGTGACGACGTCGAGAAATCGGAACTGGTCGTTTCTACCCCCTGTTCTCCGCAAGCAATGCCCTTCGCCTTATCGGCCCTTCGGGTGTTCTACTTACCAGTTCCACACAAACGCGCTTTGTCGGTCTGTTTTCTTCTTCTTTAACCCCTTCACTCCCTTCAGCCCCACCCTTAAATCTCATTTATGATAATATATTGCTGAAAAAAGTTTGGGAAATGTTTTGAAACAAATTTGTAACAACTGCTGATGCTCCACCTTTTGACTTTTTTTTACCCTGAGTACAGAACTGATGCGGCCCTGATTTATCGGACATATTTTACCCTGGATCTATACTTTTCATTTCATAAAAGTTCAGTCCTAAGTCGTTCACAGGAAAATGATAGTTTTTACTTCGTCTTTCCAAGGCCGTTGCGTGGAAAGGGTTATTTTACCCGAGTTTGCTTGGTGCAAAATAGTTTTTGTGCCTGCCTATATGCATGCCTGCGTGAGGTGGTGGACGTTCTTTTGTTTGAATAAACAGCATAAACATCCGGTTGCCCAGAGACAGGGCCACGGGACACCTGAACGTTATTTGAAACTGAAGTCAGTTTTGGGCTTCTGCCACACTATCTGCATTCCGCGATGATTGAATAAGAGCACGTGGACTTCCCATCAGATAGAAATCATATAGATATAAAGAAGCGTCATTTCGTCTCGTGTAAGGTCCAACTCTTTTGTACCGCAAGTGCGTCAGAGGACCTTTTCCATTCTAAAGGTCCTTTGTGTATTCCACATTCGGCATACGAAGACAAATATAATTCTTCGGCGTAAAACAAAACAGATATTCTGGGTTTGGCATCCCATGCTTCCTTTGCCTTGTCACCTTCTAAACAGGTGCAATTTTAATAGCTGGTCCGGAAGGATCTACACTTTTATCAGTGCAAGTGAACACATGGTCATTTCTGTACTCCTCTACTCTGTGTGAACTTCAGTGGACGTCTTCTTCCTAATATACACCACCTACACGTATAACATTAAACAAGTAAGAATGAAGGAGCGCGTTCGTCGTTCGTTGAATGTCTATTAAATGGTTTGACAAAAATGACCGGACATGGAACTATGTACTCCACGTATCAGCGGCGGCCGCGCGTGAAATTCCACGGGGTACCTATTTCCGTGTCCTAACTTTGCATCTTTTATCGCCTTGGAGTTCAGTGCGGAGCCATCTGCTTTACGGAGGGTGCTAATCCTCTGGCACTACCACGAAGAAGTCTGCTCTGTCTTTTCATCAAATAAATGATGCATGGAACTGCATAGAATCGATGCATCTAATTCCTTTTACCTCTATCCTTCTGACGGCAGTTTGACTACAGCACTTGCACATTGCTAAATGATGTGTATTTTCAACACAACTGCAATCGGTTGGCCCATTTTGAGTCTTATTTAGACAGTCTACATGACAAAACTGTTGCCTGAAAAATAAGGTCGTTCCCATCTTTGCTCTACCTACAGCACAACGGTTACGCACCTGATAGGTGAATAAGCGGTTCGGGCTTTTGACATTGCGTAGACAATCCCACATTCCTTCCCCATATAGATCTGTTTTTTTTTCTAGATAAAAGTTGTCAGCATAACTATTCGGAGGCCCATGAGTGATAGCAAAACCTCGTCCCGTGGTAGTTTGGTTATTTATTCCCGGCTTGCTAGGCGAAGTGTTAAGGGTATAAAGAAGTGCGGACGAAGAATCAGATCACGTGAGAGTCTGGCTTATCCATCTGACCTAAAAGAATAACTGTCCTTCCTCGGGCATTGGAGCCGTGGATCAGAACGCACTCACAGCTACGCAGGGTAATGGATAAGCAGTAGTTAAGATGTCACTGAGACTTGTCAGACCTCAGGGCGCAAACGGGGCACTGTAGTACCTTTCTACAGGCAGGTTGGACAGGTCGACACTGCGTTTGCGTGACTTCAACCACGCCCTATCGCAGCCAACTCAGCGAGCCCATAGTAAAGCTTCAAGTTTCCAAAATCAGAGACTTGGGTACGGCTGACTGGCTGACGGACGCAAATTACCCAGGAATGGTCATTTAAGTCTTTCTTATCTTTATTGGTAACACTTTTCCACTGAAAAGAAAGAGAACAATTCTGCAGCTATTGCTTCGATTATTTTTTTTATCAAACAGACTGCTTTTTCGGTGGATTCTACAACGTGAACATTTAGGCTACGAGCGAATAGCATGGTGTACGCCCGGTTGAAATTTTCAGGCGAGCCAGGACGACTGTTGTAAAGTTATCTCCTCTGTTTGTTCCTCTTAGGACACTCCCAGTAGCTAGTCTCAGATTATTTACTGGAGACGGGTAGACCGGAGTGGAGCTATTGAGAAGTAGTTTGTTTAGTGCAACTAAACTGTGTGCAGTTCCGGACTCATGTGCACTTGGGAGAGCCTCGGATGCTAGGCGAACTCGTGATGTGATTGTTATTAATTTGAGTCTTATTCCTTATTTACAGGGAAAATGACTGACAAATAGCCTTAGACCTCGACTGAAACTGAAATACGGGGTTCAGAGGTAATATCCCATTCAAGAGATGCTCAGACTTTAAATATAGACACGATTATTTAAAGAGGATTCATCTATCCAGCTGCATCGGAACGTGCTCGCCCCCATGGACATTGCGATTCAATCGTCGCATGGTTACCAATAAAGATACAGAGAAGGAGTGCCGACAAACAAAAAGAAGACTGTGGAGGTCACTTATGGCCCATTAGTCGTCTTTAGCAAGCCATACTCGGCCCCAGTTGTGGAAAACCTGTAGTTCGAACTCGTTAGACCAACGGACCCGTGACTCACACTGAGATCACTACACTTAAAAGTGTTCAGTGACCAAAAATAGTCCCGATTCGAGTCCGGGTTTACTCAAACCTGAAGTTAGAGTGGCCTACCTACAACGGCGAACAGGTCAGAAATGTCAACTGTCTGTCAAAATAGTGCATTGTAGTGCTGAAAAAAGGGATACACACGATTGCATACCAGCATTCCACTTAACAAACCCACAACCGTCTACGGCTGTCCTATTTATAGTAACTCTGTAATTGTTCAGCAAACGTTTTTGCCAGCGATTAGTAGGTTGGGAAGCGATCGGAAAATCCCTTGTTTCCTGTATTCAAATGACGGCAACCTTTATGTTCTAAAGATCAGTTATGGACAACTGCAGGATTGTTTGATTTAGGTTAACTCGAAACCTAGGACTTATACTGTTAAAATATTTTAATAACTCACTTTATTTTCTGTGTTTCAGGAACTAGAAGGGGGTCTCTTGATTGTTAGAGGTTTTTGACAAAGTCTACCTTCTAAGGCGTTTGAAAAAACCGCCGTCATCTCATATGGCGTGTCTGTCATCTCTTAAAAAATTAATAATTGCAGAACTTTCCGCAACAAAACGAGCCAGGCTTTCAAACACCAACCACCAGCCTATGCAAAATGGAGATTATACCTATCGTCTTCAAGAACATTAAGTTCCAACGTAGAAGAATCAGCAAGTCATCGGGAAAAACCGTAATAGTAAAGTTGTGATTTTTAGCGAGTATGGCGAACCGAGGTGACCTTCGGGACAAGATGCATGGGTAGTGGAGGGTCAATTATCATGAAATGCGTTATTTTATTTTACTTGAATGTCGGCTTAAAAGATCGCTCGATGTTTTGTGAGTTTCAGACCCGCATATTCCTGTGCACAATCTTCGTTACTTTTGGCAGGGGAGAGGGGACTGACGAAAAAGTAAGAAATTAAATGGTAAATATACTTTTTTTATATAGACATAAAGGACAGATGACACCATATTGACTTGAAATGGTAAACGTGTAAGAGGTTAATTTACGACTTTTACATTAATACACGACATTTAGTAGAAAAAGCTGATTTTAACTTCATTCGTTTCTCACAAACGCATAGAAACGGCATAGTGTCATCTGGAGCGCGTTCAATCCGAGGTGATAAGTTTGTAGAATTCTGAAAAAAGCGATTAAAACAGGCGTCAACGATCACGCATCTATCACTCAAGCGCACTCTGTCTCATAATCGTGTGGTCATCCGTTCTTTGGTCAGCGCTTTGATAGCTCCACGCAAATCGATTCGAATTGTCGCAAGAGACAGAAAAAGAGGGAGCGAGAGAGAAAGCAAAAGGCGACAGTTTCTAGCGCCAGGAAGGTTTTATTGCGACGTGGATTAAAATAAAATCAGCTACTTTTAATAGCAAGGAAACAATGAACCCACCCATTTAATGGTTGCCCATACCCTGGTCATTGTTTAGATCCAAAAGGACCTATTAGCCCCCTTTTGCTTCAGACTTTGAAGACAGTGTTTATTAGTGCTACTAACCTAACTTTCAAGCTCTGATTCGTTCAAGGCATTTCAAGCCTGCTGAATGGCCTCCTTCAGTTCATCCCTTGTGTGGGAAGCTCGACTGTTGCAATATGCATACCTGAATAACAGCCCCCATAGACAGGGGCTCAAAAATGGTCGAGTCACTCTGTCCCTTTTGTTGCTTATTAGACGCCGGTGCGTCTTCCGGGCAGTAATTAGTCTACAGTAGTCTCATCGAAACACCGGACGCACACCAATGTACTGATTCACAAAGGACAGCAGCTTTCTCTGTAGAAATGTCGATTATAAATTTTTGCGAATAAAAGCTCCCCAGACCATTGCAGTGCCATCTCTATATGGTCGCCTACTGTAGGAATCAGGTTCCTTACGCAAGTCATGCTAATACTATTTCCGACCGTTCTGACCATCTAGATCAAATTCCTGTTCCTCAAAGAGCAAATCAGGCCACTAATCTGTTCAGATAATGTGATACCCAATGTAAAGTATTCATTATTATATTTGGCACTTTATCAACGACGATATTTGTCGGAGCTGCTGATAAGCGATTAGCGGCAAATTCTGTGTGATCCTGTGAATTGTAGTCGTTGAAGACTAGTGCCAAATCTCGCTTGATGTCTCACGTAGTACTGGTCCTAAGGTTGTGTCCCTGTCAGTGATCGGCGAGAAGTTTATTAGATTTGTTAAACGAAGGATTTCGCGGATCGTCACTGCTTGTGAAAAAGGTAGCCCGTGCATTTTAGGGAGCTCGGACGACCAACATCCAACTAGTCATCGACATGCTGAGGAGTTAAACGTGTCATTCGAATTGAGCAAAATTGTCACATTCAGAAGTTTTTTCCGACAAAATTTAACAAATCGTTTCCACCTATGTGGCAAGGTAACAACAGTCGCGTTCAATATTTTGATTTTCGTAAAATGTGTAGGCTAAAATAGTTATGATAGGTTTTCCTGTTACAAGGTCGATCAGAGACGAATGTCCGGTAATAGGTTATTTTTGACTTCTTGACGTTTATTGCTTTAATTTACAGTGTTCGCTCTTAACCGCATTCTTAAAAACGCGTAAAAGCAAGACCTCAACTAACGGTCCCACCTCCCTTTGTAACCTGGCAAATAATTAGTCATCAGAAATTACAAGTAGTTCAGTTAAGCAAAGTAATTTAAGGCATCAAGGCGAAAGTTCGACACTGCTGCATGCCAGTCAATGCGTATCAAATAAATCGTAATAAAAATGCGAATTATCACATCTCCAGTAGACCTCTCCCGTTGAATGTCTCTTCTTCTCCTTCTGGTATATTGAATAATAAACCGGGTATGAGATGCAGGTATTTATGTTATCTGACCGTCGGCGTTTTGAGGAAATTACTCTTACCCAGATGCGCAATCGGTGTTAATTAAAAAGTTTCACCCTTTTATCTGCTTCTGCCATTTGGTTATTCTTATAGTGAACCGAGATTTGGAAAATGTAGGCAAATTTACCGGCCTGACATAGAATCCCTGAAAACGTTTATTCACCAGTAAGCCTCCCGTAGGCACCATTTGGGACTTTTTGGTGATCTGAAAAAGTATGGGAGCCACCGACTTTTAAATGACTAAGATATTGTTAATTTAAGTCGTCATGGGCCTACGACTGCGAACTCTACGTTTTTGCGAGGAGATGATACTCTCTGTGTGGTAAGATAAAGTATATGACCAGGGTGGGGTTGCTATCATTAACTGCCTACTATATTGATCTACGTAGGTGTTGCTCTGTAGAGTTTTTGATTGGAATCCAGTCACTTCCTTCAACGGCTCTAAGCCCAGCACGATGACATACTTTGAACCAAATCGCATCTAGAACGCGCTGCTGCAAAAAGATCTGTATGAATTCATTGTCCTGCGCCTCCTACAAGTAATTCTTTGGTAAAAAGCAAAAGGTCTGTCCGCAGTCGAGGGGATGCAAGAGGCACCTTCCTGTGCACATTCCCACCGCCACATCGCCTTCATGTCCCCGGTACCCAACGGAGAACATTACGACACGCCCTACTCTTGTACGTCCGCAATATGTTATAGAAAGGCCTCCAATGCTTACTTTAGGCCTACTATGTCCAATCCAAATCAAAAACTATACTGTCCTTCGTTCACGTGGGCCCATACCGCTCTGCCGAACACGGGGCCGCTTCGAGTAGTTTCCTTCTAAGGAGTCTCCAATACGCTTTAATGAGACCGCACCCGTATAACTCCTGTTGCCACAATTGCCGTAAGGAACCCCTCGACAGATTACCTTTTTCTGACCCCGGCCACACACTTTATCCTTGCCCTCTGCGTCATACAGACCACATGTTTTGTTAATAACAAAGCCGATGAAAATCATCAGAGCCTTTGGGGGCGGGAGTGACCTGCGATTTTGTCGGTCTACGGTAAAGAGGAACATGCGTAGCTCTCGTCCTACAACCACCGAGGACTGTATGAGAAACCCAAAAAACTGAGCACTTTATGAAAGCAGCAGACACCGGTTGATCCTTCCAAAGTGGTAGAAGGCAACCACTGGAAGTCATACGTACTAAGGCCCGGGCAGCTTTTTACCCGCCCGATGCGTAGAGGAAGATAACCTGGTGGGTCAACGACATCCGCAGAGCAGTTCCTCTTGCCTCTTTTGCTGCTACATAGTCCTCATTCCAAATGAAGGCTAGTCCGATGCGGCGTGTAAAAAAGGTGGCTCGCTGACGGAGGGATTTCCTCAATTCGTCTGTTGTCTATGGCTGTATGTGACTGCATAAACACAACATATTAGATTCGTTTTTCCTGTTTTGTAGCAAGATTCACGCGGATGCACTCTCATTTTTCTTGCGTTGCTTTACATCAAAAACGGATCCGAGTTAGGTGAGGTTAAGATATTGTTCATGCATACATTAGGTGTCCTAAATTGGTGGAACCCACGTCATGGAAATGCTACAGACACGCGTGACTGAACTTTCGCGTCATGTAATTGACATGTATTCGACTTCACGTTCCTATTTCTCTGCGTCATTTATCCTATCTACGGAAGGGAAAACGCAGATGCGGACACCTTGTCAGGAATCGAGAGAGGGATGTCAGATCAACAATAAAGTCACGGTATTTCCCAGTTCCACGGATGAATTTCCAAAAGGATGCCAACAACTCTCCTTCGCCGATACGTTCCCTCGCTTATTACCATCAAAGTTATCCCTTGTGATTTATTCTCAGCCAGTCAACAACCTACAGTGTCTACATTTGTGGAATTCCAGGCTTGGGTCATTAACCCCCCTTGCAAATTTTGAGTTCAGACTTCAGCGAGCCTGCCTCAGTATAGCTGGGATACACTGCCTCGGACGCGTTCGCCTTCTTCCTACACACCGGCATAAGTGAACATGACCACTCCAGCACAAAAACTGGCTGAAGATTATAACGTGATCGAATCACGTGGGGGTCATCAATGTAAGTGATAAACCCATTAGTTGGACACGGTGAGAAGGCTACCCGAGAAACGAAGATAGCAGTATCCCAACAGTTACCAACTAGTAAATACGAACAAAGACGTCAGCAGGGAAAATGCACGTGCTTGCTCTTTGCCTCATTCAAAGTTGTGTTAAGCTTTTTAAAAAGCCTATTGTAACGGATTAAAACAAAACGGCCTTAAATGTCACTACACATTTATGAACCCCAAAGACCGACTATTACCTGCGGACACTGCAGCAGTAATCAATCACATGAATTGCTAAGATTATCATGCTAACTTTTACATAGTAACTGACAAATGCCTCGCAACACGACCTCACAAGCGATAGTTTACAGCGAGATTCTAAGAGGCGCGCACCCAAGTTGCGAGAAGTAACCTCGAAAAGGGCCATTAAATGCTTCGATAATGCACAGGCGCCTGGCAGGGATGGGAATTAGCTCAGTTCAAGTAGTAATTAAAGCATGAAAATCTGACGCTAGATCGATAAATCTCAGCGTCCATATGGCTAATGTATACAGAAAAAAAATTAAGAGATTGATTCATAAGCTATCTCGAACCCTCACGAAGGCTACTCTCCGAGACAAGATGATGTGTCCAGCTCAATGGGTGTTTAGCTTACTTTCGTCTAGAATGGCTCTCGGCTCTGCTGTCGATTTATCCTCATAAGTTCGCATTCGGCGCCTGGATTTTTCGACTAGTCTGGTTACAGGTAGCGGAACATTCAGTTGACGACTCAGCCAAAAGGCAGACACAGAGCGAAAAAATGGATAGTGTGCCTGAAATGGTTAGTTCAGGCAACCGTAGGTTGCCAGTGCGTTGCACGTTTTACCTATCCTCAACGATGAACTCGAGTGAGATTTCGAATGTACAAACTTGTGATCCAAGAAATGGTCGTCTTTCTATCACACATGCAGGACCCGTCTATAGGTAAAGCAACCGTTAACTGCAAAATGGAGCACTTACCCTGAAAGTCAACTGATCCCGAGTCGTCCGTGTCAACATTTTGCACCATTGATTCAATGTCTTCATCCGTCAGCGTGGTGTCTAGGTTCTTCAATATCCACCTTTTTGAAAAAACGTACATCAATAAGACAGTTTACGAGTGTCACAACTATAGATGGAATGCTTTATTTTTCGTCCAAGACGGAAATTAATCTTTAGGCGAGGGAACATTACCCAAATGTTCCTGATTTCACCAAAGTAACTGGAATGCCGGGCTGCCCATGTAGCGGTCTACCCGACATGGCGACAACGACTAGCCCCCCTCCATTTACCAGCTGACTGGTTGCGCCACTTCTAGCCCTTATGTGCGCGTTTTTCAAGCAATCTTTGGAAACCACACTCGCTAAATTACCTCCACTGATTTTCATGATCCTATAAATCCAAACATACGTCGCAGACAGTCTGCAAAAGATCGCAATTTCTTATGATACTTCGGAGGCGGATTATGTTACGCCAACTTATTTACTCCAAGTAAGTGTGCCTCTCAACTTGAAGATTTTTGTAATTAGGTGACATCCTGTGCGCATGTAAAATATATTTCCCAGTTTCCGTGCCTGTATGTCTTTTAACAACGTCTTTAGTCCTTACCTAATATAAAATTTAATCAGCGTTAGATGGCATCCTTTTAGTTGCTTAAAGGAATACACGTTTCTCCTAAATGCAAGTCCAATGGCGGATAGAGCCTACAACTAGGCGGGAATTAAATGACATTATTTGACTCGAGCAATACCCCTTCGATATGTCTTAATTTATAAAGGCAAATAATTTCCTAGAAAAATGGATGCCTCTTACGTAATCATATTCAGCGAATGGGGCCTTTTCAGATGGTCGGAAAGAAGTGTTTTTCACAAGCTAGTCAGTATTGAAACCCTGTCTAAGTGATAGTTCCTTGTCAAAACCATAATTGGGAATTTCAGATACGGTTCGTAAGTTACTCCAACTGTGGAAATAGAGGCGACCGAAACAAACGGCAGTGCAGATACCGCACACACCTATAAATAATTTTGGCAGTCAAATTCTGCGTCCTAACATCAGCATTGTCTATTTCGATAGAAAAGCAGACGTTTTACGAATTCCGGTCAGATGTGGTTATAAAGCCTAACCTGAAGTAAACAAAGTCCAGCCACCTGCAATACCGGACCGGTGCTAATAGGGCTTTTTACAGGTGGAGCTGGAGAACGCACAGGCGACGAGGTCAAGTAGCTGTATGAAAAACAAAAGCTATTGGGAATGCGCGGCTGTAATTTTCGTGATTTAGAAAAAGTCGCGCTAACCCCTAACTCTAGCCCCTAACTCCAACCTCAACAGCATTGTGTCTACCAGACGGGGCTACCTAACCACATCTTATCCCAGTTCCATGCGCCAGCTGTGACGCGGTCTATTATTTTCAGAGGGGAAAACCACCTCCACCGCATACATGAAAACGAGCTAATGGTTTGGAGACGAAACCGCCTATTGCAGGGGCCATGCAAAAACTGGACACACATAACACATGTTTGTATTGGAGAAAGTTGGCATTGCGGGCGCCTGACCGAAAGAAAAAGTCCACGAATTCTTACTGGTAATGCACTCATATAAGGCATGTATTAATTGGCATATCGGCGTAGATGAAATAAGAAAAGTACTATAGGACAAGTAAAGACGGAAGAAGCCAAACTGACGGTGTAGCGAAATGCTAAAACCTGCTTGGCGTTGTACGTTACCGCCGGGGAAATTTGTATAGTAAAAGTTGATTCGTTCCTGAAAACCTGTACTTATGATTACATCCATTGGGTTGCCCATTGTTCTATGAATATACCTGTATATCTTAATCTAAATATGGGATACGGTAAGCCGATGACGTCGAATAAGCCAGAATAGACATCTCGGTTCCAGTCGTCCTAGTCGGTGCAATTTTTTTATTATTGTCGATGCCGATGCCACCACCTGCGAGGTCTGTGGGTGAAGCTTAAAGGCGCAAGTGGACGATCGCTTTCTTTAAATCGACTGCTGGACGGTTATAGCATGAGAATATTAGTACAGTGAAAATAGCATGTTCGCTTGACTTTTATGCTTTAAATCAGCGTCGTAAGTGGGGGTGAATACACGAGGAAAATAATCGGGTCTTCTACATACCCAGCTTGCTGACCTTCAACTGGTCATCTCTGGACGACATGGCGTGACCGCACTGCGTCCGACGTAAGGAGTGGGTCGGCTGGCCGCCCACCTAAAATGGCGTCCAGATGACAGATTTCGAGTATCCCTTGGGTTCAAATTACTTTTTGACCCTTCAAGTTACTTAAGATTTTTTTAAACCGAACTAGCGGGTTTAATAGAGGCTGACTGTCTCACTGTCCTAGTGCGTGTTTTTATCCTATAGTCCAAAGATTTCGGCTAATTTACACGCTTTTTGCCTCAATAATTTTATTGGCGCTGCGTCCACTCTGTGGGGCGCGCAGTGGACGCTGTAGCTAGCGACGATCGAACTGTAATCTCTCGTGATGTATCAGTCATTTTGCCCAATTTGGATGTGCAGTTACGACAGTCAGTGCTGCGAGCATCGAATGTGACCTAGAAATACGAGCATGCACGGTAAATAGATAGCTGCGTAAAATACTGCTGCTTCGTAAAAATACTCCGAAAAGACTAATTAACAGACTTCAGATCGTCCACATCGATGCTTCCCCGTCTTTTCTTGTCCAGGGCTCGAAAGGCATCGCGTAGATCACGCAGGTCATCGTCGTAGCGCAGTTTTCGAGCGTAAAGTCGTTTGAACTGCTCCAGGTTCACGTGCTCGCTAACTGAATACAGGTAATTCACAGATGCATACATATATGTACATGCACATGCATATTTAACTGCCAAAGGAAAAGAGGCAACTTAATTTTTAAAAAAATCACTTCCTAAGGGGCAACTGTTGATTCCAATAAGTTAACAAGCGTGCCTTATAACAAACAAGAATAAAAAGATTCCATAAATGTATTGAAGAGCGTGACTGTGTGCTTAGTTTAAAAGTCTAGCCGTCAAATAACGAGAGGTATATCATCACGAAATAAAGCGCTTTTCTGAACTTTTCGTTACGAATAATGACTAGTTCCACGATTCCTTATTCGCATGTACAGGCTGCAGAAAGGCTTGCTGAGATGAAGAATAGAGACTGGAACCAGTTAGAGAAAGGCCAGGTGGCCTGAATAGTATTCTTGATTCGTCATATGTTTCGGATCTACACTCCAATCAACCACCATAGACAGTAACAGTGAATGAAGCCGAGTACGAATTCAAAGTGCCTGGCAAAAAATTATTTTTAGGCAATTGGGTCTCCCTCCAGCCAAATGCTTCCTGAAACGCTCGAAGTGGTCATTTCTCGTCTATCCGTCGCCAGCAATCAACCATCCTCACACGCCAGACCAAACGCATAAAGTTCAAACCCGATTCATTTGGTCGTTTAACACTGCCATTTTATCTACACGTATTCATACAATAAAGGACGATTCATAAACACAAGTCAGCATAAAATTTAAAACTGATTAACCTGATCTTCACGCATTACTCATTCCAGGGGCAACATAGCTTAAGTAATTGTTCTTTGCATAAGATATGGTTAATCATTTCAGTCCAAGTGTATGCGTTTCGGCTCCTGTTGGAGGTACCACCGTGTGTCGATACTTTGATCGTGTGCGTACAGGAAGTGTACTTTATCATTTACTTTCCTTTTATATGCATTTATTGACATTTCTTGCCAATGCACTTGCACAAAACTACCACAATGGCTTCGCCATCTCCCAGCTGAGTTCTTCTCTATTGTCAATTATATCAGACTTTAAAAGCTAACATCACGCTTCCGTTGCAACAGCCGCTCAGTTAACTACACAACACTTGGGGGAAAATTCTGTTCTGCCTTAGTTATATTTCTAAACAAAAGTCAAATAGCGTGGGGAATATATATATACCGACAGTTAAAAAGTGGGAAAACCGTGATGTTGGCCGAGGAGATGCCAGCTTGGCTGTATGTAATCATTAGATTAGCTGCTAAAATTCGACTAACCAAAGTCGGTAGATTGAGCATAAATGATCAACTCAGGCCTTCTGTCCTTGTTTGATAAAATCTCGCTTACCGATTTCTCATCACTACCTCAGAAAGGACTTCAATGTGATGCTAATAGGCCAACTGTCGCAACCAAATCAAACGACAGAAGACAAAGTCGACGTGACTTCAAATGCCCCGGCCGCAGTCGGCTGAGACTGAGAAGATAATGCAGTGACGGGATGTTCGACTCTAAATCACCCGAGCCACAGGTAAAGCTACACTTAGTGCCATGATGTGGTTGCGGCATAGCTGACCAGCAATTACAAATGAAAAGAACACGGTCATTCCGTCCCACCCATTGGCATTACTAAACCACTTTTCACTTTTTTCACTTCCTACTTTTTTAATAACATAACGAGCAGAAAACTAATCCAGCTTGAACATGCTAACCTTTATACCCAAAAAACAATGTATGTGTGAATAGGCACTTCCCTGATATTCCCAGTTGTTCGGTCCATTCGTGCAGCTGATTGGGCGACACGGAGCAGCGCATGTACTGGAACATTTCCTCCAACTGTGAGACAACTACGGAATGACCGTCGTTCACTGTCGTAAAGTACTTGTAAGTAGATTCGGCAACTAGAAAAGGCAAAAATTACAGACTGAATATTAAAACACTTTGATTCAATAAAATGCAACTACGGCCGACTATGCGACCATTCTACTTATAAGGTGCCTTTAAAGGCAGGCTATAAAGGCATTAAGAAACCGACTCAAAGATAATATTGTTGGTTAGCCTTACTTAAAAGCTACCCCTTTATAATTTGCACGTTGCTTATTCAGCCTGATTTTTGATATCACATTGAGCACATAAATGAAAATTAGAAGCAATGTTTTCTTAAAAAACATTACGATTCTTCTGTTCCGGTGTTAAAGAATACGAATCACTCATTGTCCACAAGCTGTTTCTTTTTGCCATGATTGTTCCCAATTTGAGGAGATTTCTGTAGACGCAGAAAAAGACAAAGTTAACGCTAGACCACTGAACTTAACTTATTGCAGTTTCGATAGTGATTTGTTGAAGACGTTTGTTTGCCATTGTTAAACGGAGCTCTCCGTAAAACTGAGCCAGTTTTAACCTGGCAGGTTGTTGCATAAAATAATTTAGCCGCAGACTTTTCCAAAATTCGGTTGTTTAATGGTCTCCGATAGAAACTATAAAGGTAATTGGGAGTTTAGTTCTGCCGTACGCAAACAACATCAATGCGAGAAATTCGGTAGGCGCATCAGAAGTGTCATATTCTTACACTGATGTGGCTTTTTTGAAGGGCTGAAACCAGGAGGTTGCTGCCTTCCAGCACTCCTGGAAAGTATAATGCCACCTTTTTAACATCTCCAATGAATTTTTATGTGGTTTATTCTACATCCCGGTAAGAAATCTGCGTTTTGATTTGCTAACTTAGCTTGTACGCGCCCTATACCATCCAGTACGTTGGACTTGAAGCTACTCAAAGCCTATAAAGATCCCTGTCATCAGAAACCAAATTATCAACAAAGGCATTTGACTTTAGCGAACAATGTTTGGCGATAAGTTTTCAAAAAATACGAGGCTAAGTTGTTCCTACTCGGCAAAATTTATCTTTGTTTTGCGCCAGGGGGCGAATTTTAAGATGGGACTCAATCAAAGTGAAAAAAGATGACGTCATCTATGAACGAAGTTTGAACATAACTAATTAATCGAAGGGCAAGATACCATGTTTCGCCTTCCTCAAATGGAAGCAATTTAAATAGTATTCTATAGTTCGGGCAGGTGGAGATGCAGCATTGCACAAAGGATTATTTTAGACTTACCAGCCGCTCTCAGGCACTAGGCGATGTGAATGTCTACTTTGGAGCAAAGCGTGAATCCTCGACTGCAAGATTTTCGTTGGCCAAAAACTTGGCTATCCTCCTCAGAACCGACCACTAACACAGTTCTCTCCAGCCCCTAACAAGCACAGTCTGCTCCACCAAAACTGACCCTGCCAGTCTCAAAGCCGGTTTTTATGCGTGCACAAAATGCTGCGTGTGAAGAATTATGTGCGCTGCAAAACTGCCAGCGAAGTAACTTTTCTTGGTTGCATGAACGAGAAAACAAACTCTTGACTTTTTAAGCTTTCCTACCTGCAGGACAAAAGCGTCTCTGAATGCCCCCAAGTGGCTTTCCGCCTCTGTAGACCAGGCGGTTAGTGGAGTTATTAGACGGCAGGCGGAAGGATGCTTGCATAGTACTAGTCTCAAAACCAGCTAGCGTTGTCGCGAAAGGTCAGAGGTGGAGTCAGTGGTTCGAATCTGTTTCCCGTAGTCTGCCCCAAAAATTGTTGTGTCTATGCGATGTACGGAATGCCAAAGCGTTGAATGTGCATAGGGCAGGTCCGAGCCAACGTGCTGTTGTGGCGGAGCTCCTGTGCTTGTTTTGGGAACAACTAGAGTTCCTGTCTCCTTCATCTCGATTACCACCTGTAAGTTGCCTCGGCAATGTGCTTGCGCCTCATTGGTTGAGACAATCGTAAAAGAAAGGGGAGAGTGGCTTGAAAACGGAAAATTGCTGCTAAACAATTTTGGGAATTGGTGGTTGTCTATCTCAACGTCCGACGACCTTATACCTACTTTTTCACTTGCCGGTGTCAATAAATGTTTATGATGCAGCAGTCATCCTCACGGAAAAAGTGGAATCCTAACGAGTCAAGGCACTGCAGTAGCTAGATGATATGAATACAGTGAGTGACCGATCTCAAGAAATGTTGGCTGAAATTCTGAAATGCGTTTTTAATTAGGAAGGATTACTTAGGCGCGGTCGTAATACTGATTATCTTGCGACATAATCCTATAATATTTCCGACTCGGCAGGATGTTACCTTTTGAATAAACTGCTTTTCAAACTTCCACAGAAACCGCACATAGCAAAAAATGACTACTTAAGTAGTATGCATTCTTCCTATTGATTTTCGATGGTCTTGCAGATTTAGATCGATTTTATAGAAACCATGAGCAAAAATGTGCTTCCTTTCAGTCGTTTGATGGAAAGCCACGTCATCGTATATGCCATACTCGAAGAAGGAGTATAACTAGGTCTTAAAAAGAATTTCTAGTTGCCGAATAATTTGGAAACTGGTCAGCCGCTGCATTAGCGCTAAGTCATTTCAGTCTACGGGTGCATGCGTTCCGCGCAAAAAAATCACATTTTCTTCTATGCCTTAAAAAAGATATCATAAAGAGTCCATAGAATCTTGCAATGGATGCGGAATATGTTGTACATTTCATGAAGAGCAATGGAAAATTGACAGGTATGATGCAATATGAATGGACATTGCGCGGTCTTAAAAAGTCTCATAGGTAGAAACTTTTTAAAACCTGATTATACTCCTTCAACAAGTAGGAAATATAATGATGACGTGGTTTTCCATCAAACGACTGAAAGAAGGCATATTTTTGTTCGTGGTTTCGCTAAAATATATTTAAATTTGCAAGACCATCGAAAATCAATGGAGAGAATGCATGCTAATTGAGTAGTCATTTTTTACTACGCACCGTTTCTACGGGAGTTTTAAAAGTAGTGTATTCAAAAGCTGACATCCTGCCAAGTCCGAAATATTACAGAATTATGCCGCTAGATAATAACCGCTGGATATACCCGCGCCTAAGTAATCCTTCCTAATTAAAAACGCTTTTCAGAATTTCAGCCAACATTTCATGAGATCGGTCACTCACTGCAATTTCGGTGAAAATTACCTATGTGATCTCCTAGAACTACTCACGAACAGTTAAGCCCTGTCGGAGTAATAAAGGTGGTCCTGCGCATAATTCCAAGAAGGGAATATATTTTAGTGTCCTAACGATAACAATAGACCTAGCAAAGACCTAAGCCGCAGCTCCAACCTTAACCCAAACCCAGCTCTAAGCCCTAACCCCACGGCTAACACTAACCCCTACCTTGGCCCTAAAAACCCCAACTAACCTTGATGCTTGCGTGAGCCCTGACCTTAAATCCAACCTTAAACTTATTTTTAATCCCAGCCTTAAGCTGACACCTAATTTGTCTGGAATTTTGTGCAAAACCCCCTGTTTTGTGGCGGTTCCTGTCCACGTGTCCTGGTTAGCCGGCCATATAAGTATTCCTTACCATAGTTTCCTTTATTAGCGGTCATTAGTAACAGCTACCATCTGACCGCTCTGTAAAGGACCTTCCCCGTCTATCAGAAATTAGTACAGACTGTTCTTCTTTATCTCCTTTGTAAGACAATCTTCTGGCTTTAGCAGCCTATAAATTATAAAAATGACTGTACTGTCTCGTGATCCAATAATTCGGACTGGGAAATTGTGTCCTGAGCAGTCCGCCCCAACCACGCCGGATAACACTAAGTCTCGCATACCCAACGAATTTCCCTTGATAACATAAAAATATACCTCTTTTTCTTTTGTTACTTTAAGAAAGGGAGGATTTAAGGCTAGATGGCAGTTGGTAGCCAGGCCCCGTATTACGGGTGGCTGGGGGGTTTGCTTACTGGGGCTATTTAGTAGGGCTCCATAATTATATCTGACCCATTTGGCTTCCGTATTACGTCTGAGGTTAGAAATAGGGCACCGGTTAGTGGTTTCCGATTTTCGGGTTAGGGTTATGCCTTTAGGCTTAGGTTTTTGGGTTACGGTTAGGGTTTGAGCGTACGATTAGGTTTCAATATTACCATTAGGTTTTTCAGGTACGGCTGTGTCTAAGGGCTACGATTACGTTTAAAATTTCGGTTAGGATTGCCGTTAGGGTTAACGACTAACGTTTAAGGTTGAGGTTAGGGTTAGGGTTAAGGTTAGGATTAGGGCTAGGGTCGCTGTTCGCCTCCCCCTTCCTGGCTACCAACTGCAATCTAGCCGGATTTAAGGCGACACAGCAGATGATCGAACTGGCGGAACATGGTGATCGAAAGTCAGGCGATAGACCCAAGGACTCCCGGACATTTTGTATTTCACTTACCAGCTTAATATGTTAAGCAGAAATTCTACTTATAATTCGTGGTATGTTTCCGAGTTAATCTGTTTAAAAATAGTAAATATTTTGAGACCGCAGTTAGCTCTCAGGTATATTTGGACAATATTCTATGCGAATATCTAAGACAAACTACACCTGCATACATGCATGTCTATCTAATGGGGTGTGTAAATCTACAAGAAGACGCGATCAGGTTTCATGTCGTGATGGGCCCACTAATACGACCCAAACCGTCACATGACGAAAGCCTGTATATAAAAACTCATACTACAGGGTACTGCTTCCCAAAACTGACTTACTATGATAGTTTTGATAATCAGACCAAAGAAAATAAATTGTCGGATGACTGACTGTGGACTTCAAAAAACCGCATAGTGTTCGCTGACGTTTGATAGACGCCTTCAGAATCAACGGACTTCATTGCTCCCAGAGAGGACAAAAAATCCAAATGGTGAGCCTATGACTGTGTTTGCCAGTTACTTTCTACTTTTAGTCATTAAGCAGCCTCTGACATGTGACCTCTGTGACGTACTTACTCAGAAAATCAAAAAACCTTCCTGTTCTGCACTTGATCTCATTTGGAATAAGTCGAAATTTATACATTTTGATATTCTGTTTTGTGTATCATTTGTACAATCTTCAGTAAACACTAGTCAGAGGACTGACTGTCATACAACCTATTAAACTAATTCTTAGGTGTAATGTAACTTGAGGATTATGCAAGAGTCTCCTTTAAGTGTTGACATACCCATCCCGCTACAGTGATCATTTGCTGATATACCTACTTCCATAAAATTAAGGTTGCCCACTCAACGCTAATTTTCGCGTATTCAACACTTAGGCCTTTATCTCCAAAATTGTTATTTTAGTCAAAATAATGCTAATTTCAAAATCACTTCTTGCTTTATTCATCCAACTTACGACCAGTA